ATCATACCATTTATTTTATTTATTTACTCATCCAATTCTTGATTTAGACCGAAAAATAACTACAAATTATCAGGTAGTAAAGTCTAGAATTTTGCACTACATACCTACTTGTTAAACTCCCTAAAATATTTTTATTTAGGCGCCAGGACCAATTTACTATGTTGTTAAACATTTTTTGTTATGATGGAAAATGGAAAGTTTATCTCTAAATGTTAATAGAAATTACATTACTTTTGCTCTGTTGAGGAATCCTACTATGAAAATTAAAACCGGAATTTAAATTAGGTTCATCATGTTTAGAGTAAGTAAGCGCGCGTAAGTAGTTTACCAACTTACAATAAAATATAATAATGAAATAGTACCAAATACTGCATTATATGAATATGGATGTTATAAAAGTAAAAATAATCAAGGAATTGTAAGTAAAACTTACCACCTAGAGCCACTGTTGCTTACTTCAACTTGTTTCCCAAAATTACCTGAGTGCAATGAATTCGGTTCTATTTGTTACCGTTCACATAACAACAAATTGTAGAAAAGTCGTATGTGTGGAAAGTATAACAAATTGACAAAAACGGACATACAATTACAGATATTACGGACATATAACGTCAAGCATTATTATAATCAACATTTTACAGCACTGTTTAAACTAAAAAAATGATTTCTGTATAGTGCAGCAAAGTGTACTCTTCAAGATTCTTACAAGAAAAAAAAAACAAAACAAAACACTCTTCACCCTGATCTTCATGAGGATCCCGAACATTTGAAATATAGGGTTTTTAGCTTTTAAAGAACTTTGAAGGATACATATTGGAGGACTCAATTTCATTACAGTAAACTGAATTTTTATCCCTTCCGTAAACAAACATTTTGCCTTCGAGTTGATTTTAAACGTCATGCAATAGATATTAGCATTTATGAAACGACCAATTGTGCACAAGCCCATTGCAAACTACCAATTTTGCACGAAGTACCTTTTTGTGAAGAAATTAAAATGCACTGCTCACTGGTCAGATATTGCAAAAAGGTTCATTATTGATGGCGCATTCATTTGTAGAGTACATCTACTGGTGTATCATCAGATTAAGCCTGGCAGTACAATTTCCAATAGTAACTCGATATTACAGACGAGGAAGGAAAAACAATATCAGATAATGAAGTATCATCATCAGCAAGCTCATTGCCAAGGTCTTCACAAACAACAAAATCGCTTCTCATGTGATCGCGCCCACAACAAATAGTGAAACAAGCTGTCGCAAATGAAGAGAGAGGCTATTAACAATTTTGAATAATTATTGCTCAAAAAAAGTTACCTCTGTGAGTAAAATCAAAATTTATTTTTAGTGAAACCTAAATACTTTCATGTCTTAAAAAACCGGAAAAATAAGAACCCCTAAATACTTTCATGCTTTAAAAACAAAAAAGAACCCTCAATGACTCAAGAGACGTTTGCTTCCAAAAACAGCTCATTCTATTCGTCGAATTTTTTCTAAGATTACCGAAAATATTTGATTGATACTCGTAAAAATGGGATATTGTGGCAACATTGTAGCAGTAGGTAAGCTCGTTTTGTAATGTTTATAATGCCCAGAATCTCCGAAAAAAACGCAAAAATTATAAAATTTTTGATTTTGACTGAAAAAAAGCGAATATTTTACTAAGTTAAGCCGCAATTTTTCGAACCTGATGTTGGGACTACACTCTCCATCTCAGTGCGCCATTGCTTACGACATATCTGACGTCACGCGATGAGGACGTTCATTCACAAGTACCGTCTCAGAGTAGTCAATTTTGCGGTTCCAGGACCCCTTCTTCCACGCACTTAACTCAGACAGCAGCATTTTGGCTGCAGCTGACCACTGACTACTGTGTACTAATATAGATTAAGAAAAACGAAAAGTTATATTTAATTCTCTGACATGACACTCACGTTTTTTAGGAAAATGAACATCTTGAAACAGCTCTATTAAAATGATTAATTATTTACTTTCAAAAACGAGGCATTTAAATGATAAATAGATGTAGTTCCACTTATATTTTATGCTCTAATATTATTTACAAATACTCCAACATTATCAACTAAAATATTACCTTGCAAAACACAAAAATATAAAGATTTTTTCATTACATTATGATCGTAATTTCAATGCAAAATTGAACTAGATACAAATAATAGGTAACTAATTATTTGTAAGAAAGAGAGAAGAGACATTTATTGTCGATAATTTAAAAAAAATATCAAATATTGCAAGACTCTACAGGAAACAAGCAATTTAAACAGTAAATTACGGGATGCCATAAATACAATAAGAAGCGGTAATTGTAGATGAAGTGATTTAAGCTTCATACACAAAACATACATAAAACAGAAATTTTTACTAATACAAACAGTGTATCTGGTTCATGACACACATTAATAATCAACTTGTCGAATGGTACTTAATTCTGTTTTGTCACGTTCTACCTATCAATATAGTAATTACCACGGCTCGGATTCTAATGACATGTCATCTTCTCAGTCGGTGCATTCTAGACGTAGCTAACATGTAAATGAATGTTTATCACGACATATCGGTGATAGAAATGTATAGTTATTGGGTCATTTTTTGTAATTTAAAAAATATTTATATCATTTTTCTGGACCTTCGGTAATTTTTGTCATTTCTACGCATTTTGTTCACTTTTCGTGTGCTTTGCTAGTGAATGTTTCATGAATTTACAAGGACACACTAAAATATTTTTTTATAGTATTATCAGTTCGTGACGAACTTCACTACTGCAATGGACTGTTTTACGCACTCTCGAAATTACACGGATCGTCGGTAACCTATTCGACCATTCAAAATTAATGGTTGGAAAATCGGAGCTAAGGATTACATTTCCTCCTAAAGTGAAGACTGAAAATTAAATGTAACTTCATGTTAATAAATTTTATTTAAAATTGTAAAATTAGTTGAAAAAATAAACAGTCATACTATTTTTTAAAAATGAATTATGGCATTCTCCTTAATTTTTGTTATTTTACAGGCAATTTTCTCGTATTTTTAAGTCATTTTATATGTAATTTTAAAATAATTTTCAGCAGAATCCGAGCCCTGGTATTACATTATTTTTCTTAATTTCCCTGACACAATGCAACGTGACTTAGGTCATTCTTGCAAACAGCGATTAAATTACATTCTCTCGTAAGCGGAAACCGGAAAACGGGCGAATCCGGGGTCTGAGCGCCGCCCCGGCGGGCGACGGCCTTCAAGAAAATTGCCTGGAATCTGCGCGGCATCCCGGAAGCTTCACGAGCCGACGTCGCTCAAAAGCGCCGCGCGGAGTGCGTCGCGTTCTAATTATATCTCCCACGCGGCTCCCGCCATCAGAGGTCTCAGCCGCCGCCGCCGCCGCCAACGGCCGAGACGCTGCTGCGAGGGCTGCTAGACACATTAAATCTTCGCCGCTGCGGGTAATGACACGTTTCCGGTACCTACTCTACAAACACTCAAAGCGCTACCATCTCGCTCGCAAATGCGATGGGGTTCGTCTGGTCACCTGGTGCTCAAAAAGGTCCGATTCAGGATCAAATTTCGGAAGTATTTTTTTCTCGCCCATTCTGTTCTCCGGCGCACATTTCTTGGGCCACGAAATACCTACCCCTAATCCTTTACAACATTTGTTCAATAAAGAATAAATAATAGCAGCGAACGTTGTTGACGAAATCTGATAACTCCAAGTGTTCGGTCTCGTATAACATAAACTATTTTACATCGAAAAACGAGATACAGATGTGAAATGTCGAAATACCTTTCCCCCTCGTACTCAACTCGCATCTAGCGAAGTGAGGTCTCAAGAAAACGTGCGTAGATAGCATACGTGGTGCTGAATTTGCATTTGAGGCTTGCCACTTCGAGAACAGTTGCGGGTTTTCGCGCGCACAAGCGCCTAAAAGAATTGTCAAAAAGTTAAAATTAAAGTACACACTTTATAGAGAATTGTGCAAAGTTTTTTCGATAAAGCAAATAGTTGTCGAGATATAAGTAAAACCACATTAAAAAAGTGCGAGGGTTGTAGGATTCCCCGTTATTTTCTTTGTGAAGCTGACAAGAGGCCAAAAATTCCAAATTCGAATTCAGCACACCAAAAACTATATAGGACAAGACAAAAAACTACGAATTTGTTTCCTGGGCAGAATACCTAGCGACGAGACTAAAATGAGAAGCAGTGTGATTATATTCCCAGTTGTCGTATTCAATGGGGTAAAATTATTTACGGATAAAATTGGAGCATTTAATGAGATAATAAAAAATCATGCACCGGAATAGAAAATAATGTCCTGAGATCAATCGTAAATAAAAGGCACAAATTGTGTTTAAGGTTTTGGAAATATTTCTATTACACTGAGAAAAAGGCGTTCAAATGTTAAAAAATTACAATATTGTTCGATTCATCAAAAAAAGTAAAAGAAAACGCATAAATGAGTCCAAACGACAGGATAATAAAAGACAAAAATGTCTGTCCTCCGGGCCGGATTTGAACCAGCGACCTATGGATGTCTGTTACATTCACCACCTACAGTCCACCGCTCTACCAACTGAGCTACCAGAGGAACACGCGCAGTGCGGCCTCAAGTTCTGTTATTAAATGACATATACAGTGAAGTAATTTTTATAATTCATAGTTTTGATTAAATGTTATCATACGTTTTTATAATTAATCAATATTGCTCATTATCTACAAAGGAAAATACATTCGTTTTTAATTACTTAAATCTGCATTTTTTTCCAAATGTAAAAGCTTTATATCACAGTAGATACAATATTTCATCAGCTGCATATTTACGTATTGACAATTGCACTTCATTATTCCCAATAAAAGTTGCCATTGACAGTCCTACGAACCGCGCTACTGATGAAATGTACTAATACCAACTGACAAGGTACCCACATGCACTCTCGAGCTGTATAAAATCAATATACGAGCACAAAATTTGCTCACAGAGCCTCACTCACCTCAACGAGTCTCAAGCACTATAATCAAGATCACACTCACACGCGGTTCTCTCACACTTCGCTAAGCATGACACTACTGCCTACTTATAGTACTACTAATTCTCTTCAATGAGATGGACGCTCAATGCCGCCAACATAGAACAAGCGAAATACGAAAAAGAGTGTTTATGATAGTTGTCGTCACATATCGATTTATATCGAGGGCAACTCATGCTCTCTAAGGCATGGTGCTCTGAGGCAACTAATCTATATCTGGCAAACAAGAGCGAATCCTGGCGGCTAAAATGTATACTACGTCCGCGCCATCTTGGACTGCAAGCCACTGCTACTCGAAGGCGCGAAGTTTGAGGTTTCGTCCCGTTATATGCACCAGATGAATTCAATGTGATGTGATGTAAGTAATAGAGCAATTGGAATAAATTAGAAAATTCTCTGAAATTCTGAATTAATTATGTTTATCAATTTTAACAGATTTACGTGTCCGCAAAAAGAAATTGATTGAAATGGCAAGTGCCACCCCAGGAGGTAAATATGGCCCAATATAATCCACTTCGATAAATATATATAAATAATCTTACATCAAATTCTATCTGTGTCTGTTACATTTTTTGAATTAAAATAAATACACAATACATGGAACTGCTTTCACATTTGGTATTTTTTCTGATAATTTGGCCAATTCATGAAGACATATTTCTGTTGAAAATTGACTATCGAAATATTATAGAGAGTTCAGAAAGCATTCTTAAGACGACATTTGAATTAAAGAATTTCTCTAACTGTAAACGTTTAACAGTAAATGAATAATGTAATAAAACAACATTTTGTTAAAAAACTGACCTCTTCTTAAAAACGTCCTATAACGGTCCAGTTTTCGGCACTGGTAACTTCTGGTTATCTGTTAAGGTAGATATTCCAAGTGCGAAACCAACATTAATAAATCCAGCAATATTCTTCAAAAAGATGAATAGTATACTACTTGTACAATAGTTATATATGTATTTAGGGAGTAGATGTTTAGTGCCGAGGACGACTCCCAATCCCAATAGCCACTTGCCCGAACATACAAAACTTCATGGTTTACTTCTTCGTTGCTGAACCAAACGAGAATTCAGAACATATTAAAATATGCCTTGCATCAAAAGTGAAGAACCTTATTGTAAGTTAACAATATGGCGTCAGAAAAACAAAACAGAATGCGTATCTAATTACTTTTAAATAATCATGGTTGGACTGGATTGTTCGTACAAAACGAATGTTCTGAAGTCCATACGATATTTCTACTAAAATCTAACAAAGCTACGGACAGTTTGTTTGCAGTAAAATGTCGAGAAATGTATGAATATTATTATGGTGTATTTGAGAGCTCCTCGGAAAATAAGAGTGAATAGCATGTTTGCCTCTATTGTAGAAAGTTAGAAGATTTCATTACATAAAAATAGCTTTTCGAGAATGTTAGCCGGTATGCCTACTACATCTATTATTACTACTACTAGTAGTACCTCTACTACTGTTCAAGAGACATTCTATGGATCTCTAAAAAATGTAATACATAATAGTGAAATAACAGTATCGGACAGGGATTATAATCACGGGAATATTAAAAAACTGCAATTTTCATTGCAATTCAACAAAGAATGTTTATATCGAGTTATTTTTCTTATTTGAACTTTACACCATTTGTTGCATTTTCCTATTTCTTAACAATAATAAATTGAATTTATAAAAAATCTTTTATTAGTGTGTTGGTAGCGGACCAAACAAAAAAATATACAAAAGGCCAGCGCAAACATAAAGAACCTGAAAGGCTCGCAAGAGTATTAAGTATACTATGACGTATTTTAATGATCTATAAACACACAGTAATGAGCTAGTAAAACATGAAACTACTCAAGTTCAATATAAAAAAGATTTCCTTTATTTGGCTTCAGCCTTACAAATAATCAATTATTCTTTAGAAACTTATTGTGAAGTCTATACAGGATCAAAAATTTACAGTGCAAAATAGCAAGGTGATGGCAATAATGCATTATATTGATGCCCGAAATTATGATACAATATTTTGATTCATGAACACTGCCGCTGTAAATGTGTGATGGCTGACAAATTGAATATCGAGAGTTTCTAACACTAACAGCAATGACGAAACATACCATTACGTTGGTACTGCTAAACCTAATTGCTAATTAAACATATACTGCTAATTAAACTGACGTAAAAAAATTGCACGGAACAAAAGATTACTCAGATTCTTTCAAAGTTTGCTTTATCTAATGAATTCAATGGTCTTAAATGCGGGCTAAACAACCAATGATTGATTCTTCCAATGGAATTTCAATGTCTCATGATCTCAGCGAGACGCTTTAATCAATTACAGACATACAATCACAGATATGTGAATATATACATTTGTAGCAATTTTGTTGAGCTTTATAAATACTATTTTGCCACTATAATGAACAAAAGACGAAGAAACTTAATAAAAGAAAAGTTTCCTAGAGTATAAACACATAATTACAACTTTGTTAAAAAACATTTTTTGCGCAAAGGTTGGTGTAATTTCCTTCACACAATGTAGTATGTATTTTTTTCTTCATAAAAATAAAAATTACCATTAATGTGATTTTTTTTCAGGTGTCGTTTTTCATCACGCTATTCCAAAATATAGCTTTAAAAAATCTTCAAATTCGAAACCTTCCGGTAAGTAGTCTCTTTCGATACTGGATACTATTACCCTTTTGTCATTACAATAAACATGCAAACTTTAATGTTTTAACTATATATAGTAAAAGTATTCTAAAATATATGCTACATTATTCAAATTCAATTCTAATTGATAACATTAAATACTTAAAATATTATAAGATTGTGAAGACAACATTTGGAAACCAATTTATTTCCTGACGCTTCTCTTTTTTCTGACGTATCAACATAAAAAATATGAATTAAATACTTTTGTTTTTTTTTTCTTGAAAATTCTCTTACATTGTACCTTTTTAAACCTTCTAAATAAGAAGTAAAAATTAATTTTTAATTACGGAAGTCAACAGTATCAATTAAAAAATACTAAATTAATATTTGAAAATTAAAGTAGCTGTATTGATAACAAAACACATTAAGTTGTAATAAATTCGGTTAATCAATATTACTAATTTAGAATGCTCGCAGAAATAGAAAAAAAAATGTGGGTTCTGCAATATGCGAGGTGACTATGGTTTTCTTAGATTACCAGAAACTCAGGAAGATACAAAAGAAAAAAGTTTATATTTTGACTAAAAAATTAGATAGTGTTCTTCCACTTTTTCTCATATTACGCGTGCCGACTTAATTCACATCCTGTCACTGCTTGCAATACGCGACTAAAAGCGGCAGCAAGTCTCCAAGAAACAGACTGCCCATCATTATTTATTATGTTATGCAACAGCAACATTTTATACACTTGGCATTTTAAAAACTGTTGTACTGTGAATATTTATGTTATGGCAATAGTTATAAAGACGATTCGTTTTTGTTAAAATGCTGTGAACATTTATGTCATTGCAATAGTAGTAAAGAAGATTCGTTTTTGTTAAAATATTTAATTTATTACAGTGGTATACAAGAGTATTTTATTTGTTGTGCATACTACTTAAAAAAATCATGGAGTGGTTATACGGTAACTTTTTACAATATCATGGATCTGTTATACTGCAACTATTCTTTTTTCGCGCATTTTTGCTGCTGCGGGTTGCTAGTTTGTTTACTAAATAAATTTTCCATGAAAAAAAATTACTGTATTTTCCAGAGAATAATAAATTATTTGATAATTGTACGATTTACAGTATCTTGCCACTCTCTCCACTCATAAATATTCCAATATTATAAATATATCATAACTTACTTTTTATACAGCATGCAGTAAAAACCAACAATGAGTCACATTACGTTGCAATACTTTTTGATTACAACTAGATTATTCTTAAAATTTTCAATTTATCCCAACACAATGGCATCTGTTCAACCTTTAAATAGGATTGTTGAAAAGCTAGGAAGTGTTGATGTAGTTTTGTATAACTACAAAGAATTTTGTTTCATGTAATTCTGATTAACACTCGTAAAGAACAATCACTATACAGTATTTCAGTAAAACTCTTGAGTGTGCTTGCAAATGTACAGATGTGCAGATATGTGCTTTTGACATTCCGTCACTGGCGTCTAGACAACGTTCCATGCACCAATCGAGACGTATGAGATGTCATTCGACGCGTCTCGGTCTTCTGATGGGAAACTGATTATAATCATGTAAATATTTGATTTCCGATCTCGCTAGAAGATTTAAAGAAATTTTCAAAAACGTGTTTTTTCGTGTTTTGGCGCTGCGATCTTAGTGATAATGCTAGGAATTATACCAAAGCCTCCTAAATTGATCTACGTAGGTAGCGTTGATAATATACAAGAACCAAAGTTCATTTTTTGCTTAATACGTCATAATTTTCTTTCACAATGTTGCCAAAGCTGATGTTGACATCTTTACGTAAACAATAGAATTAACAATTCAATCGCGCTGCAGTTTGATGTCAATTTAGAGTCGAATTATTATCGTATGTAAAAAAATAAATTTGCGAGTACCTACGAACAACATTGCCTCGTATCTTATTGAACTTGAAGAATATCAAGTGAATATAAAGGCAACAAAACTCTGAGTAACGCTAGAGAATGAATGAACGTTATGTTCGACCTCGTTCACTTTTACGTTCCTATATAAGTGTGCAAATATAGATTTTCAAATGAAGTAACCCGCAACTTACTCTTATTCAAATTAACTAACACCTTATTCACATCACGTAAATGTGCAGGTTGTCCCCCCTCTCGGTCTCTCTTCTTTCTCTTCCGGATTTTCCTCTTCATTTTCATTTATGTTTCCTTTCTCTTATTTTTCCTTCTCTTCCACTCTTCTCCGTAAATTGATGATGTTCGGCCCTAAGCGGCCATCCTGATTGAGGTTTTTCTGGGTTTACTCAATCGCTTAAAGCGTATGCCGGGATGGTCCCGCCTAAGATTTGGTACTGCCGCTGACGTAAATGTACAGCATTTTTCTCCCCTTTTAAAATGTTACTATTCTATACGTATGTAAATTCAGTGGTTAGGCGAAAGAGCAGGCGCTATGTCCT